ACCTTCCTTCCGAGGAGTGGCTGGTGGGTTTGAACCGCCAGCCTTCTGGTTAGCAGTCAAGTGCCTTAGGCACTATGCTACCAGAGCTCCTGCTTGACATATTAGGAGGAGGCTATATTAGGGAAAGGATACACAGGGTGCCAGCACTGCTCTATTTCTTGACTTGGATGGTGTTTACATGGACACTCACGTTATATTATTCTAAAATTGTACATCTCTCTATATATATTAGTGTTCCCAAAAAATGTATTTACAAAACCACCCAACAAATTAAAAACTGCTGAGTCCTTTAAGCTACATTGTAAATGTCCTCAGTGTGGTGATGGGTTTGACAAAGCACATTCCTGAAGAAGACAAAGTGGGAAGCTAGAATGGAAAACAGTATTTGGAGGAAAGAAAAGGCCTAGCGCCGTCCCTAGAAAAGGAAAAAATAGATATACAGAGAAATACTTGCTCTGAGGACATAACAACCTGAGGTTTTTTAATCACTATAATTTCCAGTCATTTAGTATAAATTTTAGTCATTCAAATAGAACAAAGGGATACTGCATGGTTTAAAATCAGGAAAGGTGTATGCCAGGGCTGTATCTTTTCACCATACTAATTCAACCTGTATGCCGAGCAAATGATCTGAGAAGTTGGACTATATGAAGAAGAACGTGGCATCAGCATTGGAGGAAGACTCATTAACAACCTGCGATATGCAGATGTCACAACCTTGCTTGCTAAATGTGAAGAAAACTTGAAGCATTTATTGATGAAGATCAAAGACTAAAGCCTTCAGTGTGGGTTACACTTCAACATAAAGAAAACGAATATCCTCACACCTAGACCAATAATATCCCAGTAAATGGAGAAAACACGGCAGTTGTCAGGGATTTCATTTTACTTGGATCCATAATCAACAGCCAAGGAAGCAGCAGTGAAGAAATCAGACCTGTTGCACTGGGCAAATCTGCTGCAAAAGACTTCTTCAAGGTATTAAACAGCAAAGATGTCACTTGGAGGACTAAGGTGTGCCTGACCCAAGCCATGGTGTTTTCAGTCATCTCACATGCATGTAAAAGGTCGACAATGAATAAGGAAGTCTGAAGAAGAACTGATGCATCTGAATTGCGGTGCTGGGGAAGAATACTGAAAATGCCATGGACTGCCAGAAGAACGAACAAATCTGTCTTGAAAGAAGGACCGCCAGAATGCTCCTGAGAGGTGAGAATGGCCAGACTTTGTCTCACAAAATGTACTTTGGTCATGTTGTCAGAAGGGACCACACTTGGTAAAGTAGAGGGTTACTGAAAAAAGGGAAGACCCTCAAAGATGAATGACCCAGTGCTGCGACAAAGGACTCAGGCGTAGCAAAGACTGTGAGGATGGCACAGGACTGGGCAGTGTTTCGTTCTGTTGCACACAGGGTCGCTATGAGGTGGGCCGACCCAATGGCACCTAACAACATTTTTCTTTCTCACTTCTATTCCTTTGGTTATACTATTAATCCCTTTTTAAATTGCCTTTTCTTACAATTCTCAAACGCAGTGGGCAACCTTCCACAAAGCACAGAAAAAAGAAATCATATCCTTCTCCATCCTGGGACATTCTAGGTCTTATCAACTGAGAAGCAACCCCTCACTGACCTTCTAACTTCATCCAGTTTCCCTTTTTTGAGCTCATAATGGCCTAAAATGGAATTAAGTGATTTTCACAAAAGTTAGAAATTCTAATTTACATAGGTCATTGAAATGGGCATATTTTACTCCAGAAGTATGAGGAATGAAATAATGCAAACTTTATTTATTTCTCTTTTTAGTCAACTGAATGCCAGGAGTTTTTAATAACTACTTGCTACCATTCCATTACAGGGTGGTGTTTTGGGGGACAGAGCCCTGGTGGCATAATGGTTAAAGGTTAATGGTGTAAACGCAGCCAGTGGCTCTGTGGGAGCCTGGTAATCTGCTCCCATTAAGATTTCAGCCTAGCAATCCCTATGGGGCATTTCCACTCTGTCATATGGGGTCACTATGAGTCAGAACCAACTCAAGCAGGACACAACACCAGCACACTATTCAGAGCCCTCTCCTCCCCTGACGGAACACTCGGTAATGGTCCCACCTCTGAGAGCAAGCTTCGAGAATGTGCACTACTGCACGTCAAGATTATGAGGAAGGAAGTTATTGTACTGCTTGGAATAGTTACATATTTACATATATGAAATAAAACTATATATTCATCATTGTAAACCACCTAAGTGAAAGAAAACATTAGTTTACAATGTCCTGAGTTGAAGCATAGGTTAAATACTGAGAAAAATCATTTGCAATAATAAAAATGAACAACAATCTGTCAAGATGTCCAACATTCATTCCTCAGTTTAACTAAAGGACCTTAGGGAAAAACTACTGTTTAGGTTATACTAGAGTATGAAGAGAGTAGATGGGGTGGGCCGTCACAGGACAGATAAGAAACACAGACAAGACACCTGGGGCCAACAATCAAAACCTCTATCACTGCCCCGTTGCACAGACATAGTCAGTTGAATGGATAAAAGCTCCAAGAAAGTGCCACTCCAAGATGGCACCGCTCAGTGCCGAATTTCCACCTCAGAGTGCATCGAGAAGGGTTCCTTCCTCTTGCCGTCAGCCACACCTGCCCAGAGGGTGTCTTTTTCACTACCCTAATACGAAATGACCAAGGTAGGGCTTCTTCCTCCATAACTTTCTCCTACTGTCCTCTAGATCCAATGAGTGGGAAGAAGAGGGAAAGCACTGCAGTCATAAGTGCTAGACCTTTTTCTCTACTCTCATTTCCATCCATGATCTGCATCAGGCTAAAATAAACTGCTCAGGAATAAAGGCAGAAAACCTGGATTAGTGGATTCAAAGTCCAATGAAACACAATACAAATGCAAATACAGTCTCAGAGAAGAAAGCACTCTTTCCCTCCCAAAACCCTCTTTTTAACTGAATACTTATGTTCTATACTTCTTTGGTTATACTACTCAAATTCACCTTATAATAAAAAATCTTTCATAATATTCAATGAAATGTTTCTTTAAAGAGCATTACAAAAGAATTCATGCTTTACATGGCCATAGTCCTAAATCCAACATTCACTGCTCAGTTTAACTAAAGTGCTCTTAGGGAAAAACTTCTATTTAGGTTATACTTCACTTTTAATTCTAGAGGTGCCCAACGTTTCTGAAACTGAAAATTAAAGGCCCACAGTAAGATTGAAATCTCTTTAATACTTCTCCCTCTTCAGAGACAGAAGTGACCTTTCTTATCTGTTCAAAATTCTAGACTTTGGCAGAAAGATCAAAGTGATGAATTTGCCATTTTAAATGTCAAATTCAGACTATCTCCTACAGACTTGGCTACCCAGGAGAGAAAGAATTTAAAATACCTGAAATTCTTTCAATTCAGTCTGGGATCGATCACGTGTAAAAGTTATTTTGCCTTAACTACTTCAATGGCTTAAAGTAGATTATGTCATACCTTACTCAGTAAGGAAAACTAATGAGAGTCTTTTTAAAAGCCAAAGTCCCATGTTCATAGTTGTGTGGGAGGAACATACTACGCATTCTATTCAGATGGATCAGCAAAGGTGCAAAGTATGAATAAATGGCCTCGCTGTGTGAAAGGATTAAACAAATCACATGAGTTAATGAAAGGTAAAACTCGAGCAAAAGTTTAAATGCCATTTGTTCAAGACTAAATTATAGTGAAGGAGCCAGCATCATGACATGAAGAGGTAAGCTGTCACCAGGACACACGGGCTGTCTTATGTAACTGCCGAACTGTGGAATGCAAAACAACAAAGAAGGTAGGAATTTTGACCCTAGGTCTCCCAGTATGTGTTGTGCTGAAGTCAGGCACTCAATGCCATCAAGTCACTTTGGCCTACAGAAAAAAGTTAATTCTGTCTGCATGTATCCCTCCCTGTCTCAAGAATTTAAGCATCATTCCTTCTTCTTAGGGAAAGTTCCTCTCTCAGCATTATTAAAGGTTCAAATAAATACAAGGTTAGGGGAAAAAATGATCAGCTCTTTGGTTATTTATTAGTTTATAATAATTAGTACTTCAGTTTAGTACTTTTGTTTGAAAGATAAATGACCAAACTGAGGCTTTTAAAAGAAAAAGATAAAAAACGACTCATAGTGACCACTCCTTCGGTTGCCAAGGCAGTATCTCTACGGATGTAGATTGCCCAATGTGAGATCCGAGGAGTGGCTGGTGGGTTTGAACCACCAGCCTCCTGGTCAGCAGTCAAGTGCCTTAGGCACTACCCCACCAGAGCTCCTAATAATTAGTGTTCTAGTTTAGTCCTTTTGTTTTAAAGATAAATGACCGAACTAGGGTTTTTCAAATTCAAATTATCGAAGAGAAAAAGATAAAAGCATTCCAGAGAAGCTCAAAACACCTTCGTCTTGCAGGTTAAAGGAAACCCTAATGTCATAAAATGAAATTTTAAAAGTAGAATATCTACAACAAGAAAAAAAAAAAAAAAAGCATCCAGCTCTGTAATAGGGGAAAAGAGACCCCAGATTCAAACAGGTGCAATAGAGACACTTTTATTAGGCCTTGGACAGGACAAAGACGAAACAAAGACAATGAAGGGAACGGGTACGCAGGACAGAAAGCTGAATGCAGCACTGAGTCACGGCCGTGGGGTTAACTGTGTAGGACTAAAAACAAAGGGAATCCCAACAAAATCCGGACTGGTGGCAGATCAATGCTCACTGTTGCAGGTGGGACTATGATTGGGGTACGCACATAACTGAAGACAGAAAAGGGTTACAGGGTTGGTTCTGGTCCTTGACTACCTGGCTAGGTGGTCATCTGGACACAACTCATGGCTATGCAGCCTGAGTCTCAGCCACAAGGTGGCTACTAAACAATACAAGAGCCCAGCCTTAATTTAAACCAGAAAAGGGCACACTCAGGCAAGTTCTCCAGCTCCCTATGTGAGCATAATCTACTTTCAACTTCTCTTCCTGAGTGCAAACTGCCCCGCTCTAGGTCTGCCTGGAACGTAGTCATGCATAGCCCCAGTGTGAAAGGCCAGAAAGACACTCAACTGGCATCGGAACTTACGTCCACAAGAAGTGAGGACTCCCACTGTAGACCACAGCCCTCCACAAACCCAAGTGCTTTAGAGTTTAAGCTCTAATACAGCTCCTGAGTTCAGAACATCCTATATGGAATCTGAATGCTTAAAACAGAAGAATGCTATTGGCCACTAGAATTTATAATAAAAAGGGAGTATACCCACTCCTCACTTATCAACATGGTTAGGTTCCAAAGACCAGGTCTTCATGGGAAAATAACCTGTTACAGGACTCTTCAGCGACCACATGCTTTTCAGCTTCCAGGGGTCTTTTCGAAGGGCTTCCACGGGGCTGCTCCCTCCCCTGCAGCCGCTGTTTGCAGGGGCTCATCTCCTGCTACGGCTTCCACACACCAGGGAGAGGCTCAGCTTGTGCCGTTTCAAGTCACAGCAAATGCAGCCACCAGGGCCGCACCCTACACTCACCCACCAAAGCTCTTGCTCTCCAAGGAAATACCCACAGACCTGGGACCAACACCTGCTGCTCCCAGCACCCCCGCATGCCCAACAGCACATCTCAGGCTCTGTGGCAAAATAACTGCTCTCCGTCTTGTCTGAGCCCCTCTGCTGCCTACTTGAAGCCTGGTGGCCTGAAGCCACGGCTCTGCTCCTACGGCTGGGCAGCCACCAGCCCATGGGCCAGGCCGGGATTCCACAAGGCCAGAGCACATGCGCTTAATGGCCCAAGGCTCCCAACATCCAGCCTTTATTTATTTTTCCTCTCTCTTTTAACTTTATTGCTTCTAAGACCAGGGAGAGGGGTGGGATGGGAAGGACCAAGGACTTGGGGCTCAGGAGGGAGGCATTCTCTCACTTAGAACACACAGGTCCTGACTCGGCTGTAAGGTGACTGAAGTAGGTATTTTATTACTATTGTAAATGCATCGATGGCATCTGACTGCTAACCAGAAGGTTGGAGGTTCAAACCACCAGGCACTCCGTGGAAGGAAGACTGGGCAATCTACTTCCATAAAGATTTACCCCCTCAGAAAACTACAGGCAGTTGTTATGAGTTGGAATCAACTTGATGGCACTGAGTTTGGTTTTTGGTTTGGTTTTAAATGTAAAACGTTGGATAACAAGACAGTCCATACATGAAGGGCAGGTGTAGTACAGTGGCCTTTTGAGAGTTCACTGAGGGAAATACTGGATGTCATCTTTCATACTTTTTGACTGCATCTCTTATGGTGCAATGTAAGCCAGTACTCATACAAAGGACACCAGTGACATAAATTCCAGGTGCTTTGACGAGGAGTCCCACCTGAAGCAGTCTTCCTGGGTGTGCTTACCGGATAGGATTGGGAGGTGGTGGGGGGAGGGGTGGAGGAGGTGGTGGTGGCGGCGGCACCGAGTTCTCCGACTGGTTCACCCGTTTCTGGAGTTCGTCCACTGCAGGGAGCAAGCGTTCAGAGGAGAGCTGAAACAAGCAACTGAACATCTTTTTCATGTGTATAGGAAACAAAACATTACCTCTCTCAAAACCAATTACTTTTCATTAAGACAAAGTTAGACACTGCAATATGAAACTGCAGAATTTTTTATCTAGTCTATTATTGCTAATGCAAGAGAGGCCGTCCATCTGTTAAAAGAGAAAAATACCATCTGCTATAGAGACAAGTGCAGAAAAGAAAAACAATTCAAGACAGTGGCTGGGTGGTGGGAGACTCAGGATGAGTGGGTTGATGAAACATCAGGAACAGCACAGTCCACTACTCGAACACTAAGATGCTATTGCTACTTGACTGTAAAAGTGTATAGACCAAGACTTAATTTTAAGGATGACATTTAAAAAATGATCTTTAACGTTGCATTCTTCCCTCTCCCACTTAATCTCTTTCACAAACTGTAAATACGAGTCCTTGACTTCAACCATCTGACCAGTATTTATTCATTACTTTAGATTTACTCAGGCCCCCAAATGTCTCTAACTCAGAAACATTTTGTGCTTCGGAAGAGCACTCTGGAGGTGTATTTCCTCACTCAATTCATTCAGTCAAGTTCTTCGTGTCACAGACATTTGAGGTCTGGTGGTGCAGTGCCTAAGACATTTGACTGCTGACCGAAAGGCTGGTGGTTCAAACCCACCAGGCTCTCCGTGGAAGGAAGAAGGGGCAATACATTTCTATAGAGATGTACTGCCTCAGAAACCCAACGGGAGATGCTATGTGTCGGAATCGACTCAATGGCAGTGAGTTTGATTTTTGAGAAATGTGAAAGGGCCTACGCTTGGTGCCATTCAAGCCACACTGCCTGCCTTCAAGGAATTTATCATTTTATCACAGATGCATATACCTATGATCTGGGTCAATGGACTAGTTACTGAGTACTCTGTCTGCAGTCAGGAGCTAGCTCCACAGCCATTCTATTTCCCATGGCCTTCCAATGATCAATCTGTCCACTGATTTTTATCCTCACCACTTAAGTAGGCAGTGGGGGCTATGCTGTCAACACCAAGAATCCTCTAGTTACTTCCCTATGTATGGGTCCATCTCTCCAAAAGGAATTTGAGTTCCTTGAGGGCAGAGGTCGTTCCTTTTCTTCTGTATTTCTTACAGCATCCCAGAGTAGGGTGCACATACCCAAATCCACTACCACCCCAGAGTAGGGTGCACATACCCAAATCCACTACCACCCCAGAGTAGGGTGCACATACCCAAATCCACTACCACCCCAGAGTAGGGTGCACATACCCAAACCACTACCATCAAGAGTATTCCAACTCATGGCAACCCTATGGGTCGGAGGAGAACTGCCCCACAGGGTTTCCAAAGCTGTTAATCTCTGTAGGAATGGACTGCTTCATCCTTCTCCTATGAAGTAGCTGGTGGGTTTGAATCACTGATCTTTTGGTTAGCAGCAGCTGAATGCTTTAACCACTATGCTACCACAACTCCTGGGAGCACATACCAAAAAATCCAAACCCACTGTGTGGAGTCGGATCTGACTCATAGCAACCCCTCCTGGGGTTTCTGAGGCAGTATCACTGCAGAAGTAGATTGCCTAACCTTCCTTCTGAGGAGTGGCTGGTGGGTTTGAACCGCCAGCCTTCTGGTCAGCCTTAGGCACTACGCCACCAGAGCTCCTGGAAGCACATACAGCAGGTACTAAATAAACTCGTTCAAAACTGAACCTCAAATATCTCTAGTGTCTGCTGCCCTCCCAACACAATAAAGACAGCTTTGCATACAAGCTGCCCAGATATTCACTATTCACTAAAAAACAATGGACTGTTTTTTTTTTTTTTTTCATTTTAAATCAGTTTTTAAATAATAAATTCTAATCAATTTTCATTGTGGATTAGAAAGCAACGGATGTTTTTAAAAGGGAAAAAGCCTACATGGTTCTTCTGTGTGGATTTTTAAATTCTAGGATAAAATTAACCAAAAATATCTGATGTGAATATTGAAGCTGTTATAAAAGGGAATGTCCTGCCTCCTTAAATTACCTGCCTTCCAACAGAAACTTATTACTTATGTCTACATGGTAATCCAACTCACAGAGCCCTGTTAAGCCTTCTAGAACTGAGTGAATAAATCCTTTGATTTAGGTATCCCCTGGTGTTTTAAAAGTTTTTCCATTTAATATACATATTGTTGCCCGTTCTACTGTTAGGCGTGATATTGAAAGTATTATTTCATGTATATAATTAGACACTAATGATGAAGGCAGTTCAAGTCTAAAACATTTCATTCTTTTTAAAAAATGGATCCTAAAATGAATGAACTAAAGTAAGTATTTAATGAACTATTCTCTAAGGAGCCAGGAAACGCTTTTGGAATGCCCACGTTAATGGTATCTCTGTCTCTCAATTCTGTATATGACGCTAACAAAGGCTCTGAGTTCAAAAAGAAGTCTAAATATTTGTAAATCATGTGATTTACAGTGGCCATTCTACTAAATGATAATAATACTAAATGAAGCAATTTAAAATCAAATCTGGATATTTCTCAGTAGCATTTGTCAATGTCCTGGGCTAGCTATCTGCCAGGTTCTGAACTGTGCAGGAGAGATTCACAGTTTAACAAGAAGACACAAAAACCTATTCAGTGCTTTTACCAGAATGCTTTAAATTTCGGACTTTCTCCTCAGAACTCTGATACTTCAGTTCCAGTTCCCTTCTATCTTCTTCTAGGAGTTCCAGCTGCTGTTTGAGGCTATGGATCTCCTTGTGAAGTGTTTCATTTTCTAGTTGTTCTTCTAATTCTTTGACCTACCGGTTAGAAACAAACTTTTATGTGGTAGTTACTTTTTCCTTTGTCGAGGAAAAGAAAGGGAAAATGACAAATGTTTCCCTTTCTTTTGCACTTCATGGCAAAGAGCTTAGAAACCATGCGACTGCTGAGGCAAAGGTGGTACTTTAAAGAATTACCAGCTACTTGGTCATATGAAAATTGTACTGCTGTAATAAGTTATGGTGTGTCCATTAAGCAAAATACTATGAAACCATCTTCAATCACATAGCTCACTATACAGTGACACCAGAAAATAAACTATTAATTGAAAAATCAGATTACAGAATCAGATGACAGATTGGCAAGACTGCATTTTCTCTTACATATATTTACAGAGGCTGGACAGGACCAAAACAAGGGAGTCTTGGGTAATCTTAAGTTTTCTGTATCATTTAAACTTCTTTTTTTGTAGTGAGTGTATGTTATTGTTTAAATCACAAAAACAACACACATCTATGTTTAAAACACTGTTGGATCTGCGAGGGAATTTACAGACAGGTAAGAAATATTTTAAACCACACAAATGAAAGATTATTCAGAATAAGTGTATAGCGCACCATGCCACTCCAGTTTCAGAAACAGTGATTGCCATAATTTCATTCATACCTTTATGCACTCTTCAGTCCTTCAACCCATGCTCCAACAAGGTATATATATACACAATAGTTTAGTCCTACACCTTGGTTCATTTCAGTAGGTTGCAGGCAACGTGTTATTTACTAAATGAGTTAACTGCAAGTGGTTGGACTTCTCAGAACAAAAAGCTAAATTCTAGAGAAGCTGAATAAAAAGCACATTCTTTTTCTTTCTTTCTTTGAAATGGTAATTCTTGCACATGTGGGGGAGAAGAGGAATTCTTCTCCTCCCACCTTGCTCCTCAGTCCTTTTTTCCAGGGGTAACAACCGTTCTCAATTTCTTGCCAACTCCTTCAGGGGTTGTTGTTGTTGTTGTTATGTGCCGTCGAGTCGCCCCGACTCATAGCGACCCCTCCTTGGGTTTCCGAGGCAGTATCACTACGGAAGTAGGATTGCCCAACCTTCCTTCCGAGGAGTGGCTGGTGGGTTTGAACCGCCAGCCGTCTGGTTAGCAGGCAAGTTTCTTAGCCACTATGCTACCAGCAGGGGTACTCTACCTAAACCAGCATTTCCTACTGAGGGAAAAAAAACATTAACTCTACGTCACCACCAACTTTGTAAACAAACTTCAGAATGTCCCAAGATTAAATGTCAATACTGTTGCTGAAGTAAACTTTGACAGGTGATAACAAATAGCCACTATCAGCCTTTTCTTCACAAGCTCTTGTTGTTGCAAGTAGCTTAAAATACTCATGTAATTTTTCTTAAGTGGTTTCTTTACCTTGAAAGCCTTTGTCCCACCTCTTCGCCTCTCCTCCTCACTCACCTACAATGACTATCCTTTTCTGCCCAGCACACAGAGGTAGGCTGTGTCAGCTGGAATAGCTCCACTCATACAAATTGAAATAACCACTTAGGAAGTCTTTAAACATACACATTTGTGCAAGTTTACAAAATCAGAAATTTTCCCAAGCAAACAATTACTACTAACATAGACTTTTCTTTTCCTCCCTCTCTGAATAAAACCTATGTCCTCCAAAAAGCTTTATGAGACAAATACACCCTCCAAATTCAGGAAGTCCCCCCAAACCCAATCAACTGGCAGATTTCCAGACAATGTGTTGGGACAAATGTCCCAAGCTCTTTGAGTCCTATCTCTTTCCCTTACCTTTTCTGACCCCTGAAGGATCATTATAAAGACTCCTCTTGTGCAATAAATTTTAGCTGGGCATTAAATCAGGTTCATTTGCTAGATTTTTTTTTTTTTTTCTAGAAGGTCACTAAAAGGAATTAGTAACTAAGGCAAAATATGGAATTTTAGTGACTGGAATAGATATGGGAGCTCTGGTGCCGTAGTGCCTAAGGCATCTGACCGCTAACAGAAGGCTGATAGCTGAAACCCACCCGTCACTCCTCGGAAGGAAGACTGGGCAATCTACTTCCACAAAGATACCACCTCGGAAACCAAGTAGGGGTTGCTATGAGTTGGAATCGACTCAACGGCAGTGAGTTTAGTTTTTCGGTTTGGAACAATATATGTATCGTTTCGAGTCCAGAACCTCTAATGTTACCTTTTGTTGGTGTTGAATTTTCTCTTCTTCAAGGAGCCGGATGAGTTTGGCATTTTCATCTAAAGCTTTCAACAGCTGCTGGTCAGGAGCTGAGCTCTGCAGCAGAAAGTAGCTTTGTCTCTTTAGCTTGTTTTGTTCAATGAGCATCTGCAAAAATTAATTGTGGAAAAATAAAAACTAAACACTACCACAGAGCTACTCACCTGCAACTAGAGCAAAAGGAAAAGTACATGGAGTTTTTATTGAGGAGTTCTGGACAATTTCTGAATTGTATAGTATGAGAGTTTCAGAAGTAGTAAAAGTTTTCATCTCATTTATAACCTTTATATAATCTTTAGCACCTTTACCCAGCCCCTAATAAGGTAAATATACAATAATTTAGTCCTGTACATCAGTTTTTATTATTGCTTTAAAATACATTAATACTAATAATAGTTACTGTTAGGTGCCACTGAATCTGACTCATAAAGACCCTATGCACAACAGAACAAAACAATGCCAGTCCTCCCTGTCCTCACAGTTGTTGCTACGTTCGAGCCCATCCTTGCAGCCAACATGTCAATCCCTCTCCTTGAGGCTCTTTCTCTTTCTCACTGACCCACTTTATCAAGCATGATGTCCTTCTCTAGGGATTGGTCCCTCCTGATAACATGTCTAAGGTGTGTGAGATGAAGACTTCACTTTGAGGGAACACCCCAACCGTACTTCTTCCAAAACAGATTTGTTCATTCTTCTGCCAGTTCATGGTATATTCAGTATTCTTTGTCAACAACATAACTCAAAGGCATCAATTCTTCAGTCTTCCTTATTCACTTCATTTTCACATGTATATGAGGCAACTGAAGAATATCATGGCTAAGGTCAAGCACACCTTAGTCTTCAAAGCAACATCTTTGTTTGTAACACTTTAAAGAGGTCTTTTGCAGCAGATTGGCCCAATGTAATCTGTCATTTGATTTCCTGACTGCTGCTTACATGGGCATTGATTGTGAATACAAATAAAATGAAATCCTTGCTAACTTCAATCTTTTTTCCATTTATCACGGTGTTGCTTATTGGTCCAGTTCTGAGGATTTTTGTTTTCTTTATGTTGTACTGCAATCCATTCTGAAGGCTGTGGTCTTTGATGTTCATCAGTAAGTACTTCAAAATCCTGTTCAAGTTTGTGTCATCTGCATATAGCAAGTTGTTAACGAATCTTCCTCAAATCTTGATACCATGCTCTTCATACAGCCAGCTTCTTAGATGATTTGCGCATCATTCAGGTTGAATTAAGTCTGGTGAAAGGATACAACCCTAATAATGCACACCTTTTCTGATTTTAACCCATGCGGTATCCCCTTGTTCTGTTCAAGTGACCGCCTCTTGGTCTATGTACAGGTTCTGCATGAGCACAATGAAACATTCTGGAATTCTCATTCTCTGCAATGTTATTCATAATTTGATATGATCCACATAGTGAAATGCCTTTGCTTATCAATAAAACACAGGTAAACATAGTTCTGGTATTCTCTGCTTTCAGCTAAGATCCATATGACATCAGTGATGATATCCCTTGTTCTGTGTCCTCTTCTGAATACAGCTTGAGCATGACCACTTCACATTTATTTCATCATCTGATCATTACAACAACCCTGTAGATTCTACTGTCACCCCTATTTTACTGTTACAGTAACTGAGGCACAGAGGAGTTAAGCAACGTTCCCAATGACACATGGCAAAACCAGGATTTGACCCCAGATCTGTATGATTTAGAAGCTCTATGTTTTAACCACCCAGCTATTTACCTTCATATTTACTAGACCTAATGTTTGCCATGTGTCATTGGGAAAGCTGCTTAACTCCTCTGTGCCTCAGTTACTGTATCAGTAAAATAGGAGTGAAAGTAGTATCTACAAGGTTGTTCTAATGATCAGATGATGGGATGAATGTGAAGTGGTTGTGCCAGTGCATTGACAGGGAACTACCAGAAATTCAAGCTGGATTCAGAAGAGGACATAGAACAAGGGATATCACTGCTGATGTCATATGGATCTTAGCTGAAAGCAGAGAATACCAGAACTATGTTTACCTGTGTTTTACTGATAAAACAGGAGCTCTACTAGTATAGTGCCTAAGGCACTTGACTGCTAACCAGAAGGCTGGCGGTTCAAACCCCACCAGCCACTCCTCGGAAGGAAGGTTGGGCAATCTACTTCTGTTGTGATACCACCTTGAGAACCCAAGGAGGGGTCACTATGAGTTGGGTCCGACTCAACTGCACATAACAAACAAACAAAACAAAACAAAACAGTGTTTTGCTTTAAACCAACCAAGTGGTAAAAGTCATTAACAGTAGGTGGATAAAAAAGATATACTAATATTTATTGAGCATTTTTTAATCAATTTACATACTCATTTAATCCTTATGTTACATATAAAAACACTATTTTCTGTTCATCTGTCATTTCTTTTCCTTACACTACACAAGTTGGCCACTAGGTAATCCAAGTGTGAAATGTTTTACAAACTCTGAAATCAGGCCCATTTTGCAGCATGGCCTCCCATTTTCAGATCCTTAACAGCATGCTAAGTGAAATCGACACTCTCTTCCACTCGGCTCCCATGTCTCCGTGAGACCGAGAGGTAAAGGGAGAGCAGGAGTGAGTGTTTAAGTCTGTGTGGCGTTGTGTGTGTGTAGGTTCACAGCAGGCTCACAGGGAATGAGATGGGAGCCTTCAGTCCAGCAGGGAACAAGAATATTTCACCACAGTATCTTCAAGTGTAGAACAATAATCTAGTTGAAATGAATTACTACAGGTTAGTACCAAAACCGAACCAAACCCACTGCCATCAAGTTGATTCTGACTCATAGTGACCCTCATTGGGTTTCCAATGCAGTAAACCTTTATGGAAGTAGATTGTCCCATCTTTCCTCCACAGAATGACTGGTGGGTTTGAACTACCAACCTTCTGGTTAACAGTCAAATGCCTTAGGCGCTGCACCACCAGAGCTCCTTCAGGTTAGTACAGTAATTCCTTTATGAAACATTTAAAACTCAAATTGGGGTCCCTTGTAGGTATGCGTTTAGGAAGAACCTCAAGTAATCAAAGTGACAGTCCTACAGAGAACAGCTGAAGTTAGTCCCCTAGCTTTCCAGCAAGCAAAGCCATTCACCAATCACGTCTGGAGGGCAGGCAGAGAAAAAGCAGGCAGTGGGGGTGATCAGGCCACAGGTGGTGAAGTCACCAGTGAAGACGACCAGGCCACATGGTACCAGGTCAGCACAAGGGTACCAGGTCGTTACTCTTACTACACTTCTTCTCTGTGTTCAAGTCCTCTTTGAGAGAAAGGGATAATGCTCCTTTTCCAAGGAGCACTCAAGAAAACCTGCTTACCTTTCCATGATTATAAATTATGTCAAGTTTCCTATTTTGAGGGTATATACATCAAATCTTGGAGATGGTAGTAACATGAATTTCCTTTGCAAAACTAAGGCCCAGAATTATTATAAAAACAAATTAAACTCACTGCTGTCGAGTCAGATCCGACTGAGAATGACCCACCCCTCCCTGGGTTTCCATGGTGGTATCTCTACAGAAGTAGAATTTCCAATCTTTCTTCCGAGGAGTGGCTGGTGGATTTGAACTGCCAGCCTTCTGGTTAGCAGTCAAATGCCTTATGTAGTACACCACCAGAGCTTCCCCAAATTATTATAAGATGAAAAAATATATATAGGAAAAAAAAAATTACTGTAAGTAACCATGGAAACTTGAAAAAAAAATACTCATTAGACTACTAAATTTTTACTAAATTTTAAGATACTAAACTAAGGAGCTCTGGTGGTGTAGAGGATATGGCATTTGGCTGCTAACCAAAAGGTCAGTGGTTCAAACCTACCAGCCACTCCACAGAAGGAAGACGGAGCAATCTACTTTCCATAAAGATTTATAATATTGGAAACCCAACAGAGGTCCCTATGAGTTGGAATCTACTCAATGGCAGTGAAGTTTTGTTTTTGTTTTTTGTAAAATATTTTTACATAATCCTTTTCTTAAGATGTATTTCAAGAGAATTTGGAGTGCCCAAATGCTAAAGGATTTGATTTTTAGTTATGGTAAGAACTTGTTGGTTGGTCTGTTAATTTCTATGTCAGAGAAATAATACTATAGGTAACAGAATTTCAGAAAAATGTTTAAATCTTCCAAAAGAAGAAAAAAAATAAGAACTTATATAATTCATAAATAATTCAGTCATTCCAAAACTGTACTCAAATACCATCTGAATTGTTTGGAAAAGAAGAATCAATTATATAATATTCTCATGGATACTGGGAATATATGTTGAACAAGGCATCCACATCTTTAAAGAAAACAAAACTATATTGGGTAGCAAGAAAAATATACTCAAGAAATACATGCAAGTCATTATAACTTTAAACTGTGTTGAAGAAATACAAAAACTTAGCATAGTGATGCAGGAGTGCATGGAGGGATGGACACAGGGAAGGGGTAACTATCGGGAGGAAGTGGGAGGGGAGCTGTTGCATTGGGGTAAACTGTAGTCAATGTCTTGAGACAAAGTGCATGTGAACTGCTGTATGGAAAGTGAATTTGCTCTGTAAACTTTCACCCAAATCACACACACACATACACACACACACAAACTTAGCATAGTGAAGACACTGCCTGTTTTCTTCCTTATGAGGGAGATCATGTTTTTGCTTCAAGTAAATAAGTGAGACTGGAATGTGAAGAAATGTTTTACTTTACATATTTGAGAACTGTTTGTATTTTTTTATTCCTAAGGAGCATTTGTGGTCACAAGCGCTAGGCTGTTAACCAGAAGGTCAGCGATTTAAACCTACCCAGCAACTTTGCTGGCACATAAGAACAGTAACAACAGCAACTCTGTAGGAGAAAAGACCGGGCAATCTGCCCCTGTGAAGATTACAACCTGAGAAACCCTGTGGGGCAGTTCTACTGTCAAAAAGGGCTGCTGTGAGTCAGAACTGACTCAACGGCACAGAACAACAATACATACTCCTTTTGTAATTAAAACTATAAAATAAATTAACTGAAAAAACAATTATTTCTATGGCTCTAGACACTGAGCTCCAGAAGGCCAGGGACCACATGCACTTTTCTCACCACTGTATTCTAATATCAGCACGGTGTCTGGCACCTAGTAGATGCTCAGTAAGACGCCTGCTAAGTACACAAGGGAAGGAAACACAATAGTCATATCCCTTTGGTTAAGCTAAGCATGTGCCTACTAACGGTAGTTCTGTTGGAAACCTGAGAGTTTTTAAACCATGCAAAAGGGAAAATACACTGGTTCCAATCTAGCCCTAGTATAGGAAACAAAAAAAAGTTCTCACTATTGTGTTGGCTGAATCAACACAGTAAAATTATAGCGTACCACTCTAAACATGTTGTTGTTGTTGTTGTTATGTGCCGTCGAGTCAGCCCTGACTCATAGCGACCCCTCCTTGGGTTTCCGAGGCAGTATCACTACGGAAGTAGGATTGCCCAACCTTCCTTCCGAGGAGTGGCTGATGGGTTTGAACCGCCAGCCATCTGGTGAGCAGTCAAGTGCCTTAGCCACTATGCTACCAGAGCTCCCATATACACTATCAATGACATGAACATGTCATTGCTCCCACCTTCCCTCCTCTGGCTACTGTCTCCTCCTCACTCAGGGTTAACATGGCAGCATCCTTGTTTCCAACGATCTCTAAGGCGTAAGGCCCTATCAGGTGAGGGGCAGAGTGAATCTTCATTTTCCTATTCTTTGTGGAATCTTGCCTCTTCTATTTATCTGCTTTGCTACTGGTGGCCTTCACGTTCTTCTTCAAGTTGCTTTGTATTCTAACATCATTCTACAAACACCAGCGGGAAAACTGAACATGTCTCTCCAAACGAGACCCTGGCATTCAGGTCAAAATCAAGCAACTTTTTCAGCTTTGCAATGAAGGTATCTTTAAATTACCTTCACCACCTCCTCCCAACTATGGATGTAGTTCTATTTCTTGTATCACTGCCGCTTTTCCCAGAGGGCTCTGACATCCTTCAATTCTTTTTTATTTCTTCCGAGAAACAGAAGAGCAATATTTACTCACCTTTCTTTAAATTCCCTGAATCAAATGAATCATAATATTTCAAATGAGATCTGCTTGGATGAAACCTTTTGTGGAGTTCACTGCTAGCACAGGTACACTGAGGCACAGAAAGACTCCTGCACAAAGCCAGAGTCTGATGTTCAAATGTCATTCCCATAACCCCATGCTCTGTCTTCCTTCAACACCTCAGATACCTCCACCTTGGCCTGTTTCTCATTTCCTCAGCTACTGTCCCCTCCAACCCACAGTGTGCACAGATATAAAACAGGATGCAGAGTGGGGACCTCATGTGAATCAGCTCGACACCATGCACTGCTACAGCTCAGCCAATGGGTGCGTCACCATTTCCCAGGGGACCCACCCAAAATCAGGGAACACCCAATGCCTGCATGTCAACCAAGGGGAGCTGGAACATGAGAAGTGCAAAGGTCATCTCTAACACCAAGAAAAAAAGAGAGGAAAACCATGACACTGGTGAAAGGCAGAGAGGATGGATGAACAACATGGCAACATCCCACAGTAAGCAGAAGAATCAACTCACACAATGGGAGCACATGACAATAGCTGCAAAGAAATACTGATATCAGGATACTGTTACCCGAGATGGCATATGGAGACATCCCCCAGATTCTAAGGCTGTGAAACTCATAGACATCTGTACAGAGGCTGGACTTTTCATCACAAGTTAGGAGTATCCCTAAATAGAATTCCTTTCCCTGCAGTTTGCAATTTGCAAAATACTTTCTAAAAATTGCCCCATTTGATTCTAAAAATCCATTTGATTAGGTTGGTAGCATCACCCATTTTACAGATGGGAAAGTGAAGCCCCAAGAGGCTAAGGGACTGCTCTGAGGTCAGCTAATAACTGACACAGACAAAGTCTGAACCCAGATCTCCCGATACTAAGTGCAGTGTATTATATACTATTCCATGACTATCTCCCTAAATCACCTGGCTGATCCTTAATTCCAAATGATGCATTCGTGTCCAACTTCAAAATGTATTTTGATATGTCATCAGCGAACTCTTTTTTAAAAAATGCAAAAGTGAAACTTGGCTATCTGCAAGATACCCACCTCTTGTGCAAACGACTCGGCTTTCTTTCGAAGGTCCTTTTCCAATTCCAGGTTTACCTGCATCTCCTCATATTCTTCTACAGCTAGCATGGACACTTAAGGGGACGAGGAAAAGAAAACAGACCACATGTCTAAATTATTAGTGAAATGGATGAAAAATAATGTTTAGGAGATTCTGCATACTCTCATCCACTTCTGGTTGGAAACAAAGTGATAAAACTTTCTCAGAGGGCAACCGGGCAATACAAATAGAAACTCTCAAAATATTCATACCCTTTCACTCAATACTCCCACTCCTAAAAATGCAAACGCTGAGGCAACAAAGCACCAAACTACACAGAGACAGGTGCAGGGAGGCTATCTGTGCCTTTGCTGAAAACAGTGCAATACAGATGGTCTAACACTGAAGGATCAGTAAATTGTGCAAGGAATAGTAAGTATGCTTCTACTCCAATTATGCCGTAGAAGTGTATTTCCAAACCAAACTAAACTCACTGTCATCAAGTTGATTCCAACTCATCGCAACCCCCACTGAGTTTCCAAGGCTATAAATCTTTATGGAAGCAGACTGCCTCATCTTTCTTCTGCAGAGTGGTTGCTGGGTTCAAACCATTGACCTTTTGGTTAGTAGCCAAATGTCTTGGCAACTACACCATCAGAACTCCTAGAAGCATATTTAGTGGATGGAAATATATTAATGACATACTAAAAAAAATTTTTAAGTTTCAAAAAATTAATGCAAAAGGAGCCCATTTTTGTTAAAAACCACATTTAAAAAACATGAATAAGCATTTCACAGAAGAGGTAAGCATGTGAAAGGTCAATAAATATGTGAAAAGATGCTCATCTTCATTCTTAACTAGGAAAATGACAAGTAAAACCCAGATAGATATATATACTTTCACACCCACCAACGACCCAACAGGCAGAAAGTACGGCTAATTCGAGTGCTGGAGACAGCAGTGGAAACTGGTACAGGTACTTAGTTAAAAGGGAGTTTGGCACTATGCGCTAAAGCTGAAAATAAAATTTTACATCTAGGTACACATCTTAGTGAAACTCTAAGACAAGTACCCCAGGAAGTATGTATAAATATTTTCATACAAGTGTGACATTAAACAGCAAAACCTAGAAACAACCCAAATGTCCACCAACAGAACCACTGAATGAATTCTGGTACAGTCATCTACTGGAATATTACACAGCAGTGAAAGTCAACATACCCCAGTTAAACTCTTCAAAATGGCTGAATCTCACAAATACAAAAAAAAAAAAAAAAAAAAAAAAGCACACGATAATATGGAAAATTATTCCATTTATAGGAAGCTCAAAACATGCAAAATTAAACAAGGTGCCCTTTAGGGAAGAATATATATTTGGCAAAATATAAATACAATACAGGAAATGGTACCAGTTCAAGAGAGGGCTGTGAGCAGGGAAGGGTATCTGAGGGCTTGTAAGGTACCAGCACGTTGAGAAATATGTTTTCCCAGTGTTCTGAGGCTTCCATATGTATTATAAACATGTTTAACAGAAAAAAAGTAACATAATGAAATGTAAATGTACTAGGCAGCTTGTAAAGAACAGATCAGACACTGACATCAGCAGTGCTTCTCTCTGCATTGTAAAGGTGAGATTTAGTTTTTTCTTTTCCTATAGGAATCTTCTAAATTCCTCACCCCCAAAACAGTATATTACCTGAGTAAAAAGGAAAAAAAAAAACAAAAAAAACCCCAGTGTGTTATTTCCACATATTCTCCATGTTTACAAGATGAGAAACAGCTGTGGATCCATTCAAATCCAAAGAGTTGGAGCTAAAGAACCACTGTGGGACAGAAACCTTCAACACGATGGTCCAATCAAGCAGGAGCAAGGTAGCGTCTCGGCACCTTTTACCATTTTCTGGTCTATTTTGTTGGATGACGATGGAGACAGGCTGGAGGGAGTGATGATGCCGGGAGAAATCCAGCAGCGTAAGTCTGTACCACACACATCTCTCCACCAGCATCTGGAGGCAGCTCAAACCTCAGCTCAGTCACTCAACACAACTGTGAAGCAGCCTCCCTTCACAGCAGCTTCCACACGGCTGCACCAGAGCACTTCAATCCTAACTGACTAAGGACTGGTTTGCTGGATAATGACATAGAATTTCAAACTCTACTCTGTAAATCTACTGCCTCCTCAGACGAAAGACTTACAGTCTTCCTCAACTGAAGCAACGTTAAGTGGTAGTTTGTGATGTGAATTACAGGTTCCCAAAAGCTACGTGATTTTCAACCCTGCCTAAAAAAAGGAATTTCATGAGGAAAACAGAGAAGACTATGGCTATCTGAATCCCTGGGCAAGGTAACTGACTCTCTTTTCTAGGTCCAGGATGCTATAATATAAAAGTGAATGTTCACATAGCCTGGCCTTTTTGAGTTGGAGTCACAAAGAAATTAGATTGGTCCTACTAGTGTATTTATTTCTACAATCTCTCTCTCATCCCAGATAGGGGGCTCTCTGAAGGCAAGATCCGGGTGGTTGACCTGTGGAGAACCCTCTGTTTCCAGCATGGTGCGTAAGAACTAAAAATTCTCCTACACCAGCTCCTTCTTCTGAAATGAAGAGAGAGCTAAGGAGATGTTACAATCTAGTTCACCTTCCACACTCAGCCACAAAGCCATTGAGTTGAATCCTCGGTTTTGAAAATGCAGGTTTCAGCAGAGCTTCTGGGCTAAGACAGACTCAGAAAGAAGAGGTCACCCACTTCTCAGACAACTGGCCAGTGAAAACCTTATGAACAGCAGTGAAACACTGTCTGAAATATTACTGGAAAACTTTATGAAAAGCCCTGAAACACTGTCTGATATAGTGTAGGATGGTGAGCCCATCAGGTTGGAAGGCACTCAAAATTTGACTAGGGAAGAGCTGAGTCCTCAGAGCAGAGGCTATCTTAACAATATGGATAGAATACAGCTTTTGGAATCTCCACTGGCTGATGTGGCATGACTCAAAATGAGGAGAAAGAGATGCAAATATCCATTAATAATTGGAACATGGAATGTACAAAGTATGAATATAGGAAAGTTGGAAGTTGTCAAAAATGAAATGGAATTCATGGAGATCGATATATCCTAGGCATTAGTGAGCTGAAATGGACTGGTTTTGGCCATTTTTAATCAGACAACCCTATGATCTACTATGCCAGGAATGACAAATTAAAGAGGAATGGTGTGGCATTCATAGTCACAAAGACTGTTTCAAGATCTGTCCTGAAGTAAATGCTGTCAATGATAGGATATGCCTACATGGAAGACCAGTTAATACTACTATTATTCAAATTTACGCACTAACTACCAAAGCCAAAGATGAGGAAATTGAAGGTATCTACCAACATCTGCAGTCTGGAATTCACTGAACACGCAAACAAGATGTGTTGATTATCACTGGTGACTGGAATGCAAAAGGTGGAAACAAAGAAGAGTTACCGGTAGTTAGAAAATATGGCCCTGGTGATAGAAATAACACTGGAAATCGCATGACAGAATTTTGCGAGACCAATGACTTATTCATTGTAAATACCTTTCTTCAACAACATAAGTGACGACTATACACATGGACTTTACCAGATGGAACACACAGGAATCAGACTGACTACACCTGTGACAAGAGGTAATGGAGAAGTTCAATATCTTCAACCAAAACAAGGCCAGAGCTGACTGTGGAAACTATCAACTGCTCATATGCATGTTCAAGCTGAAGTTAAAGATAATTAAAATAAGTCCAGAAGAGCCAAAATACGACATTGATAATATCCCTCCTGAATTTAGAGACCATTTAAAGAATAGATTTGATGGATTGAATCCCAATGACTGAAAATGAGAGGAACTGTGAGATGACATCAAGAACATTACCCATGAAGAGAACAAGAGGTCAATAAAAAGAAAGAAATAAGGAAAGACCAAAATGGATGTCAGAAGAGACTCTGAAACTTGCCCTTTAGCAGAGAGTAGCTAAAACAAATGGAAGAAATGACAAGATAAAAGAGCTGAGAAGATTTCAAAGAGCAACTCGAGCAGAAAAAGCCAATTACTATAACTAAATGTACAAAGATCTAGAGTTAGAGAACCAAAAGGGAAGAACACACTCAGCATTTCTCAAGCTGAAAGAACTGAGGAAAAAATGTAAGTCTCGAGTTGCAATACTGAAATATTTTATGGGTAAAATACTGAATGATATAGGAAACATCAAAAGAAGATGGAAGGAATACACAGAGTCACTGCACCAAAAAGAATTGGTTGACATTCATCCATTTCAGGAGGTGGCATATGATCAAGAACCAATGGTATTGAAGGAAGAAGTTGAAGCTGCACTGAAGGAACTGGCAAAGAACAAGGCTCCAGGAATTGACAGAATACCCACTGAGATGTTTCAACAAATGCATGCTCCACTGGAGACACTCACTCAGTTATGCCAAGAGATTT